TTAATTTAAAAAATCCGTTTAATCTTTTTTCTTCCTTGTCACCATCACAAGAAAACAAGAGACCTCTATCAACATTGAAGAATAGTAACTATTTATTCATGTGGTGGGGCTCGGATCTGTCCTACCGTAAAACGACGCCTTAAAGTAGACTATACAACAAGGAGAGAACAAGAGAAGACAATTCTAAATATCCGATCGACGATCATCTAGTTGAAATACTCAACCCCGAACCCAATAACGTCTCTAAAACTCATCCAATTCTTATCAGAAACTCACCTTATAAATAAATTGTAAATATTAAATTTAATATACTTGATATTTTAATTTATTGTTTTTCATTATTTGTTATTATCAATAAGTAATTATGTAATTTATATAAATTATATCTAAAAGAGTAAAATGTAATGCTATTACGCTGTCACAGCTAGATGCCACGCCACAAACAGTTTGCTTTAAAAAACAACAACAACTGTATTATAAGAACTCTAACTATTTATCATATTATAAGTATATAATATAAGAAGGTAATATTTTTTGATAAAAATTAATTCAACCTACCGTATTACTTATTATAGTGCTATAAATATTAAAAAATAAAATAATATCGAACATATTGCTAATAGCATTCTATAAGGTCCAAGAAATTTAATTAATTTAATAAAACTTCAAACAATTGTTGTAGAATATCGCAGTTTTGACTTTTACAAATTAAATGGTATATCTTATAGTGTAYCATCTATTATGGCGAAACTCCAAAGTATTTATAAAAATAATGTACCGATAAACAAATAAACAGAATGTTCAAATTGAGAATATATACTATGTACWATAAAATAGAAATGAGTAATTACTAATTAGTAGTATACATTAGTTGGTACATAAGTACATTTACCTAAAAGGAACTTATTTAACTTATTTTATTAAAAAATATATAAAATCATTTATTGTAGTTACTATTGATGGTRTAGAAATTGCATAGGACACTACACTCGCATTGCGCATACTATCATAGATTATTTTTAATATCTTGATTTTAAAACAAAGTATGAACATTTTAAAATGTTTAAATGAACATAACTAGCTTTGAAATTGAAATATAATAAAAATCCTATGAAYTTCACAAGACGATATTCTTACTTCTAAATACATTTTATAACAGATCATTCCACTCTATTACTCTAATATCTYTAATGTTAATCAGTGGACAAAATGGAATATTTGGAACGTGCAATTACTGTTATGGGTTTGGACGGAGACAACACATGAGGGTTATTTATAGAATGATCACCTACTAAATGTGGAATTCAATTTTTCCTATTTAATTTTCTTATATAAAATTTGAGTAGACCATCTGATGAAGTTAAGATAACGATAAAATTAATATTTTA